TATCCGCGATTGTTTTCAATAGTGAATATTGATTGCTTTCAAGATTAGGACGTCCCACTGGATCCCTCAGAGAGGGAGATTTCTGGATTTTCATGACAAATATCTTCTAACTTTCTTTTTATACCATCCCTGTGTTTCTTCTGGGCAACTGCGTTTTGAACCTTCCTGTTTAAAGACTGATTTGCTGTTTTTATTTCCTCGCGCAACTTAATGATCTGTTTATCAACTTCAGCACGACTTGGCATAGTACCTCTGGCAGAATACAAAGCATTCAGATTTTTTCAAGTAGAGCTATCTTATTTTTCATAGCTTCCTGAGAAGGTTTTGCTCTCTGTTTATATATATTTTCATTAATTTCGCATTGCTATTGTGATTCATTACCGGGTTTTATTTTATCTTCTTCCTCTTTTTTAATATTTGAAGCTGACTGTATAATTTGTGTTTTTTCTGCAGGTTTACAGGTTGCCTAAAAATAAAAACTTTCTATGGCTTCTGCTAAAGATTCTCTTATTAAGCTACATAAATACAAAGTATAGCAATATACAGGGTGACTTTGAAGTTGAGTCATTAATTTTCAGATAATGATTGTAGAAGGAAGATAAACCAAAATATGTGTGTAAAAATAAAAAAAAAATTTTACCTTGTTTTATAAAGTATCCTCCCGACAAGTATTTCAGTGCGGACCTGTATTTGATCGTGCGGTCTTGGAGCACCGGCATGCCCTCCCCTGTGAGGTCTTAAGTCACCTGATCCACGAGCCCGTTGTACTACGTTAACAAAGGCACGAGGGGTTGGTTGCACTCGATTGGGAAACCGATCCGCATAAACATGTGCCATTTTTTATTTCGTTTGAGCCACGCAACAGACACTATTCACACGCGTTACCGACTGACCAGAGATAAACCCTTCGACTGACACTGACTGTATGTATAACTGAACTGAATAAAATAATTGTAAAAACAACGTTCCAAATTCTTTCGCTTTTTTGTTTCCGATGCGATGAACCGATAAGGCGGATTATATCCGTTGTTGCCAAACACGAGCACATGATATTATTATTGAGAGAGGGCGGTACTCAAACTTCCAAAGGGCTATAACTTTGTTACTTTAATTTTACCAGAAAAATGGTAAAGGAAAAAAACATTTCTTTTGATCAGATCTACTCACTGTTAAAATAAATGACTCAACTTCGAAGTCACCCTGTATATGGTAAATACAAAACCCTATGGCTTTAAATCTAATATGTTTAAACGAGCAATTCGTTCCGGTCACAAAATACAGGGTGTTAGTTTTCTGTATATATGTATAAAACTAACATCCTGTACTTTGTGAGCAATTGACGGAATCAATGATAAGAAATAAATCTATAATATAATGAATATTACCTCTATACTTTGAGATAGGCCATAATATTTTCTAATCAGTAAAGAGAAACTTTTTGGCGATTTCTAATATTTCTAGTACTCATAGGTACCTAAAATGATTTCGTCACTCACCTTAGAAAAAAAAATTAGTAGATTGGATTTATTCTTAGTCGCCGCTTGCAATTCTTCTTCGATTCTCTTAGATACAATAATATCTAGTTCCTTCTCGTATTTTGCTTATAATTTGTAATTTCGCCACACTTCATTAACTAACTTTTGTACATTTTGTACTTTCGTACTTGTATGAGATTTTTTAAAACTTTCAAACAATTTTTGGTATAACAGATTTGTCTATGTGAAACGACATCTTATTTAAACATTAAACTTTGGCTAATGGATTAAATGGTAACACAAATGTTAACTTGCTTTACTATGCTTACAATACGTCTACTCGCTATAGTATCGAAACGAAACAACACACTGATAGAGGAAAGACAAGTGAACACCGCGCGGTAATTCCCCTACTCGGTTCTAAAGCGAGTAGGGGAATTACCGCTCGCTGTTCACTAAACGTATCCATTATTTGCGGGAATCCCCGAAAATGCGTTTCGTTTTCAAGCAAAGACAATGTGAGGGTTGCCATTCGTGTAAAAAGTAAATAATTACCGATGACGTAATCATCATCTAGACTCCCCTACCCCCCATGTCATCCAAAATAAGCAAAGCAAAGACCCCCCGCCCCCCCATAGTGCTCACGTAATACTTGCACGGCCCCAAAGGTGTTTTCGACCAATTTCTTTTACGAAAAAATTATTTTGTGAATAATTAGTTACAGAAAGTATTTGAAATATCAGCCCAAAAACAGTGAAAAATTCAGAAAAAAGTCAATTCTGACTGAAATATCTGCTGAATGAATTATTAAATCGCAATTTTTAGTTAAATGGAATACTCATAATATCATGGGCCCTTAATGCTTTCCAGGGTCAGAAGTGACGAAAAAATGAAAATGTTGCCAAAACCCTGAAATTCACATTTTTTCCGAACCTTCAAATTCTGAACGCGCCTCCAAATCAAACCGTTCGATCTAGGGCCCTGAAAACTCACCAAGTTTATACCTCCCAAGCTTCGTATTGGGTAGTCTCCAGAAAAAAAAATGTAACTAACCCGATCTGATATATGACTCGCAAAGCCAGGTCGCGGAATTTTAGTTTCGACCAAACTACAATTTAATTTTTTTTTTTAGCAATAGGACAAATAACATTAAATGAGTCCTACAAAAAGACGAGTTGATGTGACTACTGCAATGTGATTTGGTGACTCTCGTTTTTGGGAGAAAAGAAAATATCCTTATTCCGATGTTGAGTTACCAGACGAGGTATACGGGTGTCCGGCTATAAATCGTCGTCTATAACACGAAGTGGCGTATCACATTTTTTTCCAGTTTTACAGGAGACCGTTTTAAATATTTTCACGAGATTTGAGTTGATGCTGACAACAAAGTATTTTTGCTACATAATTGGATTTGTGGGTATATCTGCTCATGTTAACGAGCTCTTCCAAAATGAGCAACGGTTAACCCATTTTTCATTTTATTTGTTCAAAATTTTAAAAAAAAAAAGTGAAATTGAAGGGTCGTAATAACGGCTTTTCCATACTTATTTTCATTAGTTTCTCCAAAAACATAAAATTTGTATGTCATTCACTCTTGTGTATCCCAGTTCGAAGATCCAGATTTAGCCGTTATACATATGATAAAATGGAACGCAAATTTCAAGTTTTTGACTAAAATAATAAAAACAAGTTCAACAAAACGTATGTATCCCATTTAAAAAAATTCTACTTTAATCGATAATACTTTTTTGATGCACAAAAAAATATTACATGAAAAACTTCATGTTAGAACCTTCAACTTATACTTTATCGTCCAGAAGGTCATGTAAAAAAGTTAGAGGGGGTCAATTTATAGCCAGACCAGACACCAACATCCAGCCAGACTCAACCGTTAATAACATGACTAATAAAAATGATATTCACCATGTATAAAAATCGCCGAGCCGCCACTTTTGTTTATCTTTCTAGTGTCTGGGACATTTCCGGGTAGAACCCCACTCGACAGACTCTCGAAAAGCCCGCTGAATTTTTGCCGCGAAAAGAGTACATCAAAGGACAAGACAAATGAAGACGTTTATTGTTTCAAGCAAACTGGATCCTTCAATTACATGATAAATTTCTTTGAAATGCTATTTTAGAAATGAACACATTTTTCGGAAAGCCTTCTAGAGGTACCAGGAAACTAGTGAAAACCAGGAAGTAACTCTAGACAAATCTAGGAATATTTTGAATATAAAAAAAGAACCTATTTTTTGAATATGCTTCTCATTCGTATCCTAATCAAATTTTTCCAGCTTGAAGCAATTTTTTCATAATTCAAATGGTATGGAAAGTGTCATGCATTTCCAAGTTGAGATACATTACAATCTGTTAGTCTTTAGCATGAGAGGTACATAATTAGATAAGTGACAATCTGTAAAGTCTGATTGTCAAACTAGAATCACGTAAATTTATAATAATCTGTACTTACATTATTATCAGAAAATATGAAAACAGCTGTCGATTAATTTCGCATTCAAGTATTCCTGAAACAAAAATCAGATAGTTAATATATGTATATTCTATATCAAGATTAGTAGTTCTTTTTGGGATGACTTGTATTTTAGGAAGCACCGAATTCGGTCTAGGTGGAAGGTTTGCAATTTGTTTTGATTCACGAAATCGTAGTCAGTAGTCATGACGCAGGTGCAAACTACAAGTCGTCCAGGCTTACGCCGTTAGTTTCACAGTTGTTACCACTTCACAATAAATTCGTATTTTTCTGAGACGTAAAAGTGATTTGCATACAGTGCTAGTGTTCTCGAAAATGGTTAAGTCTCGCGTATTGTCTTGTGAATTGCTTCTTTTGAAGTGAATGTGTTGGAATGAATCTAGCCTCTAGCTCGCATTCAGCTTTTTCAAGTACTTTCTTGCTGCAAAGTCCGGCAACGTCTTAGTGCAGGGTCGGCTTATTTTCAATTTGTATTGAGAAGATTTCATTATGATTTCTGCGCAGAGGAGTCCTGCAGCGTAAATACAGCGAAGTTCAATATCGTTACAATAAAGTGTAAGGAATCTTTCATTATTTAAAGATACTGTAAGTTATGAGACGCCCTCATACATCAACGTAAGCAACCAGACATACGCGGTCCATCGAGAAGATTCGACCGCCGCCCAGAAGAATTAACCGCCAGCTAGCATGCTCAATGAAGGCTCAATAAAACGCGGGACCGCTCTGGACTCGTCGATTGGAAGATAAATACTCACAGGTCAGAGCAGAGGCAGAGTCCAGTCAATATAATCATACATTTGTAGTAAATTAGTTGTAAGCGATGTAATAAACTGAGATTTTAATTAGTAAAAACGGTGTTTTCGTTACAATTCATTGTAACATGACGTGAATGACTTTAACTCAGTGCCACAACAACAGCAACACATGACAGCAACAACCTATGATCCTTTTTACTACAAGGTGAACCATAGAGTGTTTTAATTTTGAACTAGCGGTTATGTTGCCATCGAACGTTAAAATGTCATGTTGACGTGTCAGAAAAATAGTTATATTTTTGACATTTTCGAAATACGACGTTAAATGCGTGAATTAAATTGGAAAACATTAAAAACTTACATCCAAAGTGATGAGTCTTTAACCTAAACTGCAAGAAATGTACGTAGAAGATTTGGTACATGGGACAGACCATCAATCAAGTGCGAATTTAGAGGAGGAAGGAGACCAGGAGGGCACCCCCCCGAATGATGTCTGGCATTTTTTTGTTCAAGAAAATAGTACACCGGGTGTTTCAAACTCGACACTCACAATTCGGATCTTGGAAATGGTACGAGATACAAAGTCGCTTAAATTTTTCACAGGTGAATAGTTTTTAATTCTGATTCCAAAAATGTATAAGTCATATATTCATTCTTAAATGGCAACCTTCAATCTAAACAAGAAATTTGAAAAAAATATTCATTAGTTTCTTTTTTTAGCCGATTCAAATTTCATACTTTAAATATGCGACACATACGATAGACGAGACAAACAAAAAATGATGAGAACATTCGACCTTAGCGTCCTTCGCTGGGACTCGTTCTATGTCACCTATAATCCGTGCATGCCTATGTATGCCTACATAGCAATTTCGCAAACCAGCAACAACCCAAGCTCCTTTCTACTATAAACACAGACGACGACGACGAGGCAAATCGCAGACGATGAGGGCACTTATTCGACCTTCGCGTCCTTCGCTGGGTAGTCTAGGAGGCCGCGGCCGCAAACGTGCAAACTCGGCTAGTCAGCACGTCGACAACGCAGACGTATCGGACAGACGACTCGACTCGGGTTTCCGGCTTCGCACAGAAGAAGCATGCAGGCGTGCTTACAACAGCAATTTATACATGGGGCTCGTAATAAGCCATTTCTTGCAAAGTGAATCGGTTTCAGGGTAAAAACTACACGAATTCAACTAATGTCGCAATAAGCTATGGCGTCCGAATATGGTCTGTTTAATTTCCGGTGTATCATGCCTTTTAGCAATCATCAGTACGGTCTAGTCACTGCAGACAGACAACGGAAAGCAAACAAGCGAAGGTGGGTGCCTACTGAAAAACTACGGGTAACGTTTGACACTGCCACCTATGAGTAGCTGGTTATGGCATTGATTAAAGCCACCTGAAGATAGCCAACCATATACTCCCTGTGTTTCCGGAATTTGAATGTAGCTGGCGACACCTATGAGACAGAAGCAGAAAACAAAAATAACATTAAAAACCAACTTTGAAAAGAGTTGTCCCGCTACTGTCTCATAGATGGTGCTAGGATTTTCAATCCCTTTTTGGCGTCTCTCTAATGCCTATTGTAATTGGGTATCTTCAAGCATTATTTAACGTTAAATAGGTGCCAAAGGGGATTGTAGACCCTAGCGCCATCTGTGAGACAGTAGCAGAACCAAACACTAACTTTTTTCAAAGCAGATTGTCAAATTCAATTTTGTGTTCTGCTACTGTCTCATAGATAGCGCTAGGATATTTTAGATCATGATTTGGGTGCCGGAATACTGCGGTTGGATACCTTCAGGTAGAATACGTTAACCAATGGTAATACAAAGTGAGCTTCTCTCCTTGATAGGAAGCAGATGTAAATAATGGATTGGTTACCTTCAGGTAAGCAATGCGTTTAGTTTATGCAACTTTTTCAAGTTACATCAAAACTGGTAGCATGGTGAGTACATAACTTTCCTGGTTGATGAGTTGCCTATGTGGTTGGCGACGCTAGTCCGTTCCGTCTTAGCTTGTCAGTATCTCAATCAAAATGTGGTTGATTGCTACCGACGTTGGGTTCAGTCGTACTACTGGGTTTGGCGAACTACTCATAGCTTTGCAAGCTGGTTGAGTTTTAAGTGCACAAGGTACTACAGCACTCTCTGGAATTAGCCCTTGTGGCTGACGAAAAAGTCTAGAGGTGCTACCCCATTGCTTTAAAATGCACGCCTTTGTTGTCATCTCAACTATTGGGAACACCAAAGGTTGCACCTACAAACCTGCATTCTGTATCGTATTCTTGTAGAAGTGTCTCCACATTATTACGTAATACAAAAACATGTCTGGGTACCTGCCACCCACAGCCCTGCCAACAAGTCCAAGTGCCTTACTGCTATTATTCTGTGACGCTCCTTACATTGTAAAGCAAGACGGCGTTACTTTACGAGCACTTGCGCCTTAACTGCCACCTGGGTAGTGAAGCAGACTAGTATTGTCTTCTTAAGCCTATCCCACTTCTGAATACGGAATACACGAGACATATTCGCAAGCGTTTATGCCTGCAATATTTGGTCCTATACATCTAGGAATTATCCCCCTTTGTCCCCTGAAATTCAATTCTGGGAAGTAGAATAATCAAAAGAAAGTGGACTCTCTTACTTTTTGAGGTTTTTTGTCAGCTTTTGATGTTTATCAAATAATGTTCAGGATGTTCATATCATTAAATGGTTCGTTATGAAATTAACTTGTCTTAGGTGACTAATGGATGATGACTTGTACATGTCTCACTTCCATCAAGGAAAAAATAAACATTTCTTGGAAAGTTCAGATCTACTTGTTGACCTGCGAGATCCGCAAGTTTAAAAATCAGTACGAAATTGTTCGCCTTTAAGAATGATGTGAATGTCAGCTGACACTAGTGATGATCTATGATCAATTTTGATTTGTTTCATAATTTGTAGAAATAGAATCATTTCCGAGTTATTTGATTTTTTCCAAGCTGCAGGAAATATTCGCAGGGTGTTTGAGAACTGAAACCGAATTTTGATATCCCAAACATGCTATTACTCGTTTCTTGCTTTCACGTCAGAAGGAAAGCTTTAATAATGTAAAAAATGTCGATTTTGACAAGATGACAAGTTATGGTTTTAATGAAGCATTTCTCTTTAATGATGCTAAGGTGTTCACAGGCCAGATCCCTTGTAAAAATGAGAGAAATGAGTAGGACTCCAAGATATTCTGGCCAAATGAAACCACATGTATAAGTTACTTTTACTGATGTTTCGGCCACCACGGTAGCCTTGTTCAAAGTACAGATATCGACAGTGAAAATATATTTCAAACTACAACGTACTTTGTAAGGAAAAATGACAAGTCAGACAATGCTTTTGAAATATTGCTGTCGATTTATTTGAGCAATTTATGAGCCTAAGCATCTGCGGGAAACAATAACTAGAATTTTAGAAAAAAAATAATAAGTGAAAATATTAAAAATAAGTCTGTGGACACTCTGATGATCAAATCTTCGACGACACGTCCACATCTGAACATGCTTTATTATTCTATCAGAAAAGTGTTACTACACCGTCGACGAATACCTAACTGCTTAATTTTATTTATTTATTCTTTTTATTTATTTATTAAGCTTAACGGAAAAGAAACAGTCTATTTATTGCTCCTCTTCTAGACATTTTAAGCGCTCAATTGTTTTTATTTATTTAAAATAGATTTTTTTTTCATGTTCGTTAGATGTCATTGAGAATTTGTTTGTGTTTGTAATGACTCCTATTTTATTTATTTATTTTTTCATGTTCGTTAGATGTCATTGAGAATTTGTTTGTGTTTGTAATGACTACTATTTTATTGATTTATTTGTTTATTATTTATTATCTCAATTACCGTTTTAATTAACTACCTGTTCTTTTTTTGCATATCGCATACTTATGTATTGTATATGTAATGTTGACAAGTCTTATGTCATAGCTATTTATGACCAAAAGACAATAAAGACTATCTATCTATCTATCTATTAATAAAATTCCAAAAAAGCTCACTTATACATATCTTGTAAACGGGAAATTTCCAGACCTGTATTTATATAAACTTGTTTTCCTAAAATCAGACAATGAATCACCTCTCGAAATTTGACAAGGTACTTTAATACCTCGTATACTATATTCATCGAAGCATGAGTCATGAAGGTGTTGAAAAATTGAAAAAATGACATTATTAATGTGTTCAGCCTTTGTCCTGGAGCACTTTGCAAAACAACTCAAAAACCTCTGTCAAGTTCAATAACCTTACATCACGAAATTAGAATTCGCGTCTGACTGATTTGTAAGCAATAACCTTAATTCGTGATATGACAATTATTCACCGCGTATTTCCGTAGATACCAGTATTATACTTTCAATCAAACTTGTCACCTGATCTGCTTGCAAATGTATTTAGTCTTCGGTGTATTGAACTTTTGGAGCACCTAATAGAAATGTAGAAGCACTTACCATGTATCTAAAAAATATCACGTAGGTATGTTTAGGAATAGAGATTATGATTGGACTTTGCGACTGTATATTAAAAGCGCAAAACGCAACTTTGTTGCTCTACATACATTTACGGCAATGCTTTGAGAGAGGCGCAAGAAATGTGCACTCGATTTGGACATAATGATTGATTAATGTCAAGTTTGTCCTAAAACGCATACAAAAAAGAAAGCTTTTGGTTCAAGAGCACGAGTTTCTATGAAATTATGACACTGATTTGTGATTACAGGTATTGAAATGAGGCAAATGCATTGTTTCCAAATGCAGTCCTTAAAAGTTAAGAAATGGTCTTTAGTTTTAAATCAAGATCACGATTATCTTCAAGGTAGTTACTCTTGAACCAAGAGCAGAAGACAAATCTACGGGTTGCAGATGCAAAAAAACAAAAATGACAAGTGTCACAAAATGCACAGCACAGACAGTTGAGAAGTTGCGTTGCCAGATCAACAGTTACGGAATAGTTAACCAGAACTTAAAAAACAAATTTACAAACAAGTAATAATAGTTAACTTACACGTTATAGTTACCAAAATCGGCGATTCAAAAATTGTGCCTTATAGTTATAAAATTAATAAACTTCATGAACACACTTTTTTGGTAATAGTATGATGACACCTCGACCTGTTTTCCTCAACCACTAACGGCTAATTAATCCCCAATTTTATCTTACATATCCATAGACCTTGGCTAGGTTGTCATTTTCCGTCAAGCAAAATTGTCCGTTTATTTATAGTCAAGTACCAAATGGGAAGAGAGTTGAGTAAAACGCATCGTACCCCAATGGTCGAATGTTGCTTCATTTACCAAAAACAGCGACATAAAGTGATCCGCCACTGGTCTGGAGATTCGCACGCAGATGGCTCGACATCATCTACCAAGGAAGCGTCTAGCAGTATTGCCAAACTGTCAGAAAATATCATAAAACTGTTATACCTATAACGAGCTAATAAAGTACCGCAATTTTATTATTAGAAGGTTTTTAGTGATCGTTTCGTCGTTTTGGCTATGACATTCTTTACTTAGATTTTGCGTAGTGGCAGGACAAACCTATCCGTTATTGAAATAAGAAGGCTCGGTTAGCTTAATTAAAATAATTTCAGGTTATGAAAATCTAATTATTAAAATATAATATGAGCTTTAGATCAAAGATACATGCAAGAAATTGGCAATGAAGCCTTTTATTGTGGTTCTGCTGGTTTTGTGGTGACTCGTCGTACTGTAGTTCCAATCATTCACTGTCCAGTTTGAACACAAACAACAATTGTAGAAACTTTTCGATGAAAAAATTTAACAAGATTTTGATATTTTGGGGTTATCTTCTCAACATCGAAAGAAATAAGCAACCTGTCATGGCTCTCAGTAGCCAGTACTGTCAAATTACAACGGTCCACTGTAGTGGTCATAAAAACATTTTTTTTTCATCAATCACTGTCAAAAATAACCTTATGAAAAGGTTCGTTATTTTTGTTGCACTAACGGCCGTATTCACCAATTCGACGTTTGCCAGACTGTTACTTATCAGTTGTACAAAATATAACAGTCTGTTAAAGAGAGATGTGCAGCGGAGCTTGCTCCAGTTCTTGCGCGTCTCTTCCAGATATCTTATGAATCCGGCACCTTCCCAGAAAACTGGAAATTTGCTCATGTACAGCCCATCCCAAAAAAAGGATCTAAAACCGACCCTTACAACTACAGGCCTATAGCTCTGCTTTCTGTTATAAGTAAAGTGATGGATAGGTGCATAAATCGCGAGCTTCTGGACTACCTCGAACGTCACAGCCTGATTAGCGACAGGCAGTACGGTTTCCGGCACCATCGATCCACAGGGGACCTCCTAGCTTACGTCACGCAACTGTGGAGTAAACTCATACAGTCTCATGGTGAGGCTCATGTCGTTGCTCTTGACATCACGAAAGCGTTCGATCAGCTGTGGCACGCTGCCCTCTTAAGCAAACTTCCATCCTATGGCCTCCCAGAAAAGCTTTGTAGATGGGTGGCTGACTTTATCTCTGGCCGCAAGATATCCGTCGTAATTGACGGATTCTCCTCTTCATCCCACAACGTCAACGCGGGTGTTCCCCAGGGATCGGTCTTGGCTCCAACACTGTTTCTCTTACATATCAACGACCTACTTTCCTGCACGATCAACCCAATCCACAGCTTCGCTGATGACAGCACTCTACATGCAGGAATTCAGAGTGACAAGCCGATCTCTGCCGCTGAGCTGGAAAAAAGAAGACTAGCGACGACTTCTTCTCTGACAAGAGACCTGGAGGCTATCACTGCTTGGGGACGCAACAATCTTGTACAGTTCAATGCTTCCAAAACACATTACTGTACTTTGACGAACCAAAAGCGTCCTAGCGCTCATAGAGTTTCGATGGACGGTCGAGTTCTACCAAAGAGCCATTCATTTCGGCTGGTCCTCGGGCTGGTCGGAGTCCAGATCACCGAGGACCTGATCTGGCACGAACACATCTCTTCAATAGCTGCAGCTGCTGGGAAAAAGCTACGCTATTTGTTTAGGGCTAAGAAGTACTTTTCTCCGCATGGCCTTCTCACTCTATACAAGGCCCAGATAAGGCCTAGCCTCGAGTATTGCTCACACATTTGGGGTGCTGCCGCCCCGACTACAGTGTCGATGCGCGATGCTGTCCAGAGGAGAGCGGTCCGACTGATCGATGACTCTTCTCTAACAGACAGTCTCGGGACTCTTTCGCATCGGCGGGCCGTCGGCGATCTAGCTCTTTTCTATCGCTACACCAACGGGCTTTGCTCCTCAGAGCTCTCTTCCATGATGCCGCCGCGCGATGTGCCTGCCAGACAGACCCGCCTGACTTCGGCGTCCCATCCTAACCCTGTCAAACTTAGTACATCCAGAACTGGCCGATGCGACCGCTCCTTTGTCCCGAGGGTGTCTAGATTGTGGAACAATCTACGGGAGGAAGCTTTTCCCAGTTCTACTAACCTTAGGCAGTTCAAAAATCGTATTAACAAAATTTCTTTGGGATCATTATAGCAGCCGCGGTGTTCCGGCATTTAGGCTTCTGCCTGCGCGGCTGTTTCGATATAAAAAAAAAAACAGTAGTGGTATAATAAAAAAAATATAAAAATCTTAAATTTCTTTAAGTTGGTGCCTCTTGACAAAAAACCTCACTTTATAGCTGCTGTGTGTTGTCATGTGTTTGTCATTCACAGTGTCAGTTTTGTAATGGTTTTGTATCATGGAACAGTCATAAAAAAAGATCAGCTAAATTTACATTAAGAGACAATAATTTCCTTGGTTGAAAAATATCGAAGTATAATTGAAAACAAAAAGACTAACTTGGTTTTTAACAAGCAGAAAAATGAGTGTTGGGAGAAGCTTGCCTGGGTATTCAATTCAAACAACTATCCTCAGAACTGGCCAACAACTAAAAACCAAAACAACCCAAATTTGGACAAAGAAATCAACTTGTTCCCTTTTTTCAGGTCAATTTGTTAAAAACGGATAGTGGGGTATCTAATTCCTCGAACTACTACATTTGATGAAAAAGTTTTAATCCTTTTAATTACATTAAATAAGAGTATATGAAGTATTTATCACTAAATTGAATTACTATTTCTGTTCCCATGAAGATACAAGTGCCGATGATAACTTACAGGCAAAGTTATCCGTAATACACAAAATAATTTCCATAAGAATTAATTTTTTCATGACAACATAAAAATTGATGAAATTATTGAGTCTCTTGTTGCAGTATTTTGACATCCAATTCGAACCCGGATCTCTTCAATTTGTTCATTTCAGGTCCATTCTAAAAAAATCGATAGTGTCATTCTGTTCTAAGCACATGTTGTGCAGCACTGCAGTTGCCACAATAACCTCACACATAGTTTCAAGTTTTAGCCCTCATATCAAGATTTGGTTTTATTTTGATATTGGCTGGTACCTTTCATTTATCGGTTCTGTAACATTTTGCAATACAGTTTCCAGTCGCCTAAATGTATTTTTATTTACTCTAAACCTTCTTTTGAACTTTAAATCATCTAGGTCTTACAATTCTTTCTCTCAGGATATCTTCAATGTCACTCATGTCTGTTTCCGAAGATTCTAATATGTCGATAATATCAATTCTACTGAGGCTGTCCATTTTGATACAAGCCCTTACTCGCTGTTCGCTGACTGTATTTTGTGTATCACTTCTACGAAATCTCCAGGCAAAATAAAGTCGGGATGACACTTTTGACTTTTTAGTATTAAACAGTCAGTGGTTTACCAGTCCCAACATCGCGCTGTTAACTTCTTTAACAGACTATTTGCTATGATGCGTTGATGGTGAATACCAAAAATGGATTTAACAATGTGTTAAATAATTTAACAGTCTGTTAGGGAATGGTGAATACGGCCGTTTAAGCATATTCAGTTTTCCAAAGTACACTATTAGAAATCATTCAACTCAGCATTTTAACGACCACATTTACTAAATAGATTAATAGCCGCTTTACATAATTAAATATATACAGGAATAAATTGTAAGAAATATTGATGAATTTCAAGGTAATAAGGTAGTGAAGTTACATGATCAAATTTATAGTCTCATGATACCATCCTCAGGGAAAAAATACCAAAACATAACGTAAGCATAATGAACCTAACCAAATGAAAAGATATAGTTATTTTTTTATACATACGTGATTTTTTCTGCCGAAATATTAAATCCTAAATTAAAACCAAAGCGCCAAGCCAAACTGTAAGGATTATAATTTTAATCTCAAGTCACAAAACGCGAACGCGCCAAATAACGAAGGTTGGTATCTAGGAAAAAGAAGCAAAAGTAACTACGATTCCTGAAAAAAAAATATGGAAAATTAAAACAGACACTAAACTTGCAAATTTATGCATGAATTTATTGTTGCGGAGAAACTGTTATGTTTACACGCTCCATAGTCAATGTTGTTTCATGCTTTTTAGCAATCATCAAGACGGTATAGGTCTAGTAATTTGGAGACAGATGACGGAACGCAAACAAGAGAAAAACTCAATTCAAAAACTAAAATCAATTTCAAGCGGATAACCAAATGGAAATGGTATTTACCATTTTGGGTTGGTATTTACCAATCCGTTCAAGCGAGTGTAGTTATCAGTTTGGTTATAAGATCCGTGACGTCACGAATCAGCTGTTATATGTCATAGTTATCACCGCAATATTGTGGTATTTACCCAACTCAAGAGTAGTTTTATATTTCTGGTTATTATTTGAAATGTGACAAGTTAGAATTTTGCCGGGTATTGGATATTGTTATTGTACTTCAGCTTCATTTTTCAGAAAAATGATACAGGCTGACTTCAGTTTTACCATAAAGTGGAGCACCTTATTAGTTATACTCATTACGGTTGTTGGGGGCACTTTAAATGTAGTTCCTATGCTTAACAAAGTATCCTGTGTAGCCATATACCACAAGAATATTAAAATATGGCCATATAAACTCACTAGATGATATCCACCTGTATACGGTTTTGCTAATTTCTTTTTTCATCATTTCTGCTGAATCAATAAATGTTTTCTTTGACATGCGGAAAAATTTAGAGAATTGAAAGTTATCATAGCCACAAAGCCATGGTTCCATCATTAAAAAAAAAATCTGAAAAAAACATTTCTCCCATGAATATTATGAAAGGTTTCTTATTTAAACGTTCCATATACAGTTGTAGACGAAAAAGCACCGATTATTAAGTGATAATAAAAATAATCAGAGATTATATACGCGCTTTTCTAAAATAAACAACTTGCAACAAAACCGCGGTTAAAACCAACACGTTCAAGCGATTCGTGTAACTGACGTCATCAACCCGTGTGTCATCTTGAACCATATTATAACCGCGACACATAACACAGAAATTTTGGTTATTCGCTTGGATTTGATTTAAGTGTCCACCGTGCCAAGAGCAATTGACGTTCCATTCAAACGTTGCATAAATTAAACACAG